AGTGGGGGGGGGGGGGGGTGTACTCATAGTCGTGCATGCCGTAGTCGTTTGACCATTGACCTCGCATCCCTACAAAGCCGGGACGGAGCACGCCGGGTTCTCAACGGACCAGGCTCTCACATCACCAAGCGCGAAGCGTCGTGAGGTATTTGGCGAGTCGCATGAAGGGTGAGCTGCATCCTGCTAAGGGTGTTCGGCATCTTGTGCTTACTTCCTTGCGTACGGATGACAGCTACGTATGACTTAATTTATTTTCTGGTGCTTTCACTTCCAGAGACAGTTGTAAGCACTGTGTAACTGCCTCGAGGAAGCTTGACCATTTTAACACAGCGTGGTGCGATCATCCCCCGTTGCGCGGAGTGAGGTTTCTCGACCCCGCACAACATGATCTACTCGACCACCATTACGGTTACCGCCAAAAAAAAACGAGGTAAAAAAATAAGAACGGTAACCTGGTTGCCGAGTTCACGAAGTGAATTGGCTTGTTTTACAACGTCGTTGCCAAGCGACGAAAACCCAATCCCGATGGCAAACACCGAGTGGGGGGCTTGTTTTACAACGTCGTTGCCAAGCGACGAAAACCCAAAACCCCGATGGCAAACACCGGGGGGGGCGGCTTGTTTTACAAAGTCGTTGCCAAGCGACGAAAACCCAACCCCGATGGCAAACACCGAGGGAGGGGGGGGTGTACTCATAGTCGTGCATGCCGTAGTCGTTTGACCATTGACCTCGCATCCCTACAAAGCCGGGACGGAGCACGCCGGGTTCTCACCGGACCAGGCTCTCACATCACCAAGCGCGAAGCGCCGTGAGGTATTTGGCGAGTCGCATGAAGGGTGAGCTGCATCCTGCTAAGGGTGTTCGGCATCTTGTGCTTACTTCCTTGCGTACGGATGACAGCTACGTATGACTTAATTTATTTTCTGGGGCTTTCACTTCCAGAGACAGTTGTAAGCACTGTGTAACTGCCTCGAGGAAGCTTGACCATTTTAACACAACGTGGTGCGATCATCCCCCGTTGCGCGGGGGGGGGGGGTGTACTCATAGTCGTGCATGCCGTAGTCGTTAGACCATTGACCTCGCATCCCTACAAAGCCGGGACGGAGCACGCCGGGTTCTCACCGGACCAGGCTCTCACATCACCAAGCGCGAAGCGCCGTGAGGTATTTGGCGAGTCGCATGAAGGGTGAGCTGCCATCCTGCTAAGGGTGTTCGGCATCTTGTGCTTACTTCCTTGCGTACGGATGACAGCTACGTATGACTTAATTTATTTTCTGGTGCTTTCACTTCCAGAGACAGTTGTAAGCACTGTGTAACTGCCTCGAGGAAGCTTGACCATTTTAACACAA